CAGGTGTTGAACATGGCTCTGACATCGGCCCCTAACTTTGCTCCATACTCGATGGCTGTCCACAGATGTGTTCTTCACCTTCTCCGTCCAGGCGTCGATCATGCCGCAATCGGTTTTCTTGCTTGCCTACAAATCAACGCGTGCCTGAGTCACCTCGCTGTGTTCCACTTGTCTTCCTACCTTCCTGAGCTCATTGCCCAAGCCATTTGACTAGGTGCCATCCATCGTAATAATGACGGATGGACCGAGCTCAGGCTCCAAATCCTTGAGAACAGCCCCTAGTGCACGACTACGATCAGTGGTCAGTGAAGACACTCGCAGACCGCAACCAACAACCCATCGCATGAGACGCCTTATGCCCTCGATCTCCATCCGCGTACTAATGTTCTCTGCAATGGCTCGCATCGTAGATGTTCTAGTGTGGATTCACTGTCGCCTTACCCGTCTCCGATCGATGGAGCACACCAGTATGGAGAACCAGTTTAGTACGCAGATCTGACAGCACAACTTTGCCTATCATAGCCGAGTATCCTCGACTATCATAGGCTCCATCGGCTGCCAGGTGGAGACCCTCGCCCTCCTGTAAAGGACTGCTATGATTAATGGAGTGTGGGTGCATCAACCAAGCACTATACCTCGTAACTCCTCTTCACCATGGAAACAACGAACCGCTGATGGGCGCGGTAAACGGTCTCGATGGCTGGCTTGGTCCATGTGAAGACCTCGTAGAAGAAAGTCTTCGAAAATATAGCCAGATCCATCTGACGAGCCCATCGCTCAAGCTCCTAAATCTCCGACGAAGCATCGAGATCATTGTAAATAGAGCAGCATTTAGTACTGACCACGTATCGTAGTCCGGTAGTTATAGCGGACACAGCAGCCACAACGTTCCCTTTGAACTTACGTTCACTTGCATGTGGAACGGCCCGCTCCTGACTTTCCCACCTTTTAGCACGAATGCAACAGCTGTTGCACAGATAGCGTACCACGGCTGCAGTGCCCACTGCTTTCAGTTGCGTTCTGCCCAGTTCGTGGCCACAACTGGGGCAGAAACGGAACAACGTCAGCAGTAGAGCACCTTGCACGAGGTAGTACCTCTTCAAGTCGGCTGCATTCGTGTGTCCCAACGCGGCGGTGAAATCAGAATCAGAGTCGTCGGTCTGTGGAACGTAGTCAGGATCCTAAATCACATTCACAGGTCAAGGTAGGCAGACACTATGTTGAAGTGCCTGAGTGACCTTCTCTTTTTCCGCATGTGTGACCTCTTCGCATTCTTCAGCATTGTCAGTGTCGTCACCACAGTCTGCCTCTGTCTTGATGACTGATCCTTCTTCTTGATCCATCTCCTCTTTCACGACTGAATCAGGATCACCATGCTCTCCTGGCGCAGCCATGCTGCGGTCAGCCTCTTCCAACATACCCTGAAGGTTGGGTTGTTCAACAATGTTGAATAAATGCACCACTACTGCTTTCTAAACCTCCTCCTCCTCCGCATAGTGTTCCGGCCACAGAGAAGTCCCACGATACTTCTTCATAGCGGCATTTATGAAAGACCACACATCCCGGGCACTTATGGCCATATTGTTCTTAAATTCTCACTAGTTTATTTCAGTAGGACTGTGCAGATGTACAGATAGATAGAAGATATGAAGATAGAAGTCCCACGTTACTTAGGCCGTTGATCACCTCAACGAGACCCGTCGGGATATCATCAGTGCAGAAGTAAGCAGTGCTTCCTTCTGCATCCGGTCTTCGTAATACGACACGGTTCTTCCACTGAATGTGATCTCTGCACAAACATACTGGGCCTGTCATAAGAAAATATACGCCATTCAAGTGATATGCTGCACAAAGTTCACCAGACTCACCGCTCGCACAACGTGAATATGGCACACATAGATTCTATTCCTGCATAGTGTCTCCCAAACACTATCAACAAGCGCCCTATCCACGAGACCCAGCAACGACAGCAAAGCCGCTAAGATGAAATTGGGCTTTCTCGAGGACGGATACATCCGCCTCATGCTATCTACGTTGGCAACTTGCCCACAGAGAGAACAGGAGCGCCTCATCGTATAACACGAGACCTGAACTCAGGAATCTATTCGCAGTGTTTCCGTCAGATAGATGAAAAGTACAGCAGAAAAACGCAGACAAGGAGACGTGTGACTTGGTATTCTTCAACAACTGACAACATATTAGGTTGGAAGGAAAGTCCTGCGACACGTCTCACACATTGCCTTGAGGAGGGATATCGCTCCCCATGCACTGGGATAGCCGCGACTGAGCTTCCTTTTCATTGTACACGCTTGAACGACTTCTGTTAGTCCTTGTGGTTGGTAGCAAGTGTTGGAGTCCGCACCACACGCACGAGAATGTTCCGTACAGGATCTCTCGTGGAATAAAATAGACTACTCAGCCAAAAAGGTGTTCATGGACTAGGATTCCACTGTGTCACGCTTCAATTCATTCCGGAATACTCATCCTTTGTACAGCGGAAATTCTTAGAATCAACGTCCA